AGTCTCTGCTCCTCCGCCAGTCTCTGCTCCTCAGCAATTCTTGCCTCCTCTGCGAGTCTCTGCTCCTCGGCGAGCTTCTCCTCAGCAAGCCTCGCTTGCTCTTCTGCAAGTCTCTGCTCTTCTGCGAGTCTCTGCTCCTCCGCAACTCTTTGCTCCTCTGCAAGCTTCGCTTGCTCCTCGGCGAGTTTTGCCTGCTCTTCTGCAAGCTTCTGCTCCTCCGCAAATCTTTGCTCCTCGGCAAGCCTCACTTGCTCCTCGGCGAGTTTTGCCTGCTCTTCTGCGAGTCTCTGCTCCTCTGCAAGTCTTGCCTGCTCCTCCGCAAGCTTCTGCTCCTCTGCAAGTCTTTGCTCCTCGGCGAGCTTCTCCTCAGCAAACCTTGCTTGCTCCTTGGCGAGTTTTTTCTGCTCTTCCGCGAGTCTCTGCTCCTTAGCGAGTGTCTGCTCCTCGGCGGGTGTCTGCTCCTCAGCAAGTCTCTGCTCCTCGGCGAGTGTTTGCTCCTCGGCGGGTGTCTGCTCCTCAGCAAGTCTCTGCTCCTCGGCGAGTCTTGCCTGCTCTTCAAGCTTGTCTTCAGACATTTTCTCCGCTGCGAGCTTCTCTGCTTCAAGTCTTTTCTCCTCACTCATTCTCTCGTTGATGTCTTGTTCATCGGCAACCCCATCTTTAAAGTGTTCCACAGCGACCTCTGTCGCTGCAGCCAACTCTTTGGACTCAAATGCCGTCCCTATGGGCAAACGCCTTTTTGGACCTCTTGCCCGGCTCTTCGTCATGTGCGTGAGGAGGGCCGGGGATTGTGGCTCCTGCTGTTCTGAGCTTCCCGTTGAGAGGCTGCCGGTGATGGAAAGGCCCGTGGCAGGGCCGTTGCCAGTGGTTGGCAGCCCGCGAGACAGAAGTCCTGCTAAGGCAGGATTGATTCGGCCTGCAAGTTTACTTTTAGCAGCGGTACTTTCAGCCGCAGCAGGCGCATGTGGAGTCTGGTCCAGTTCCACCGGAGACAGAGAACGCACCGACGACCGTACTGAGGATTGCACGGAATGCACCGAGGAACGCACCGATGAATGAACTGATGAACGAGCCGGGGCGACATCTCTATGACCCTGAGCCTCCTCTTGACCTTCTGTAGTCGGCAAATCCGCTTCGACATGCTGGGGAGATTCCACCTCGTTGTAATTGACCTCCTTTTCGGATGCTTCACTCTCTGTTCCAAGTTGATGTCCGTCAAAGCTACCCTTGGGGATTTCAGATAGTTCGACGGTTTCTTCAAAATCGTGAGTCATTTCGTTGGTGACGTTGGTATCCGCACGAGTAGGAGAAAGGCTTAGAGCCTGTGGTTCTAGAGACATCGGCGGCTCAAAAGGTGATAGCGGCGAAAGTGGTGAGCGTGGAGACGGCGCGTCAGTAGTGGATAGGTTGCTTCTAGAACTGATAGACTTGGTCAAGTTGTTCCTCTTTGCAATCGCTTCTGGGACGAATTTCATAGGAGCGTCCATTTCTCCGGCAGTGTTTCGCCTAGTTGAGCCCCCATTAGTTTTGATTGCTTCCTTTTGTTTGAGTATGCTTTCTTTTAGGTCATCAGTCTTTGGCGATTTCTGAGGACCGTTCGTCGTACTGAGCGCCGCTTTGCCTTTTAAGATATTTTCCTTCAAGTCATCGGGGGGTACATAGGTCGATGCCCCGGCCCTCTTCAGCTTCCCGAAAACGTTTTTGAATTCTGGCTCCTCTTTAGGCGCTTCATCTTTGACAATCTCGCGACGTCGAAGGTTGGCTCGGAAATCGATCACAGCTGGTTGTGGCTTGGGCCTGTTTAAGAGCGGGTCGCGGGTTGGAGATGGAAGAGGCATGTCAAGTACGGTCTTGGTAATCGGGCTTCGATTCGACAATTTCAGTGCATGCTTCGTGGTGTTGTCTTCTGCAACTTCTGTCTCTGTATCTGCTGTGGTGAGGGGCGGAACTTCCACACTCTCCTCCAGAGGTGCTGCTTGATCATTGTCTTTGGAACTGTGAGCCGGCTGGCTGTCATTGGGCAAAAGTCCCGGTCCGTCCTTGGGTTGACTTCCGACTACGCTGTCCTTCAGCTCAGGAGCATGGGTTGGGACATCATTAGCGGGGATATCATCTGAGGGTTCGAATGGCGCATGATCATCTTTGGATTCAGCGGGCTCGCTGTCTTTCGGCTCGGCCTCAGGAAAGTTCTCATTAGGAACGAGATCAAGGCCAGGCTCTTTCAGAGTAGGGGACAAAATGGTGGCGAAATCGTCTGGTTTGGCCTTACCCGTATCGGCTCCAGAGAAGAGATTCGGAATTCCGGACACACTTGATGATTTGGAGTGAGTGCCCGGAGCAGCCGTTCGCATGAGCCCCACGGGCGTAACTTCTTTGAAGCTAGAAGTCCGTCCCAGATCAACACTGCTCCGCAATTGCCTCTCCCTAACCCATGACGGTTGTTGAAAGGACTGTTGCCTCTTGTGCTTCGGCGAGTCAGGAGGACGATTCAAAGCACTTTCCAACCAGCTGGCTTTGGTAGGACTCCATCTCCTAGGATCCATGGTCCTGGAAACTGCTGGACTTGAAGAAGGCAAAGAACTTGACTCTGGGCCCTTTTCAACAGAGCTAGCTGACCGCGTGTGGAGGCTGAGAGGGGGCCTGGCGGTCCCCTCGTCAGCCAGTGCATTGCTCTCTTGTTTTTCGGGAATGGGAACTGGCGGGGTTGCCGGTCGTCCACTGTTTCTGGCAGGGTCGATGATAGTTGCCTCGCTATGGCTCGAACCAGGCCGGTGACTCGATGTAGGCCGATGGCTGGAGGTCGGCCGCTGAGGTGAGAGGCTTGGAACTTCGCGGCTCAATCTATATGAGGGCGAGTTTGGGAAGGTCTCATTCCCGACGAAGCTGTTACGGCTGCTAGCAACCGAACTTGGCCGGCTAAGACCCGATGGAAGCTGGGCGCTCCATCTCTTCGACACACTATCGGATCGCTTCATCATGGCGCTCTGCACAAATCCGCCGAGACCCTTTGTTGGTGACGTCGACCGTTCCGGAGAAAGCCGCCTCGGAGAAGGAGGAACAGACATCTGATCCTCGAGTACCTCTTCGGGCTTACGGGGTTCCAGCTTCTGAGCGCTTGTCAGAGGCAGCGGGGAGCCGAGCCCTGTCGCGGTAGAGACAGAAGAAACGCTTGAGTATCGGTGACCTAAAGTACTTTCTGCAAAGGTCGAACTGGCTCTAGATGGCGATCGAGATCGTCCCTCAACGCTCTCTAGGTGATCGATCTCCTTTTTAGGTTCTGGGGTGGATTCCTTTTCGGCTTCTTGGGGCTGGAAACTGGCTTCGGAAACCGGTGTTCTTGGCCTCTCGTCCTCCATATGTTTGCTGCGGGTTGGGGAAACGCTTCCTTCTGTCTGGCGCGCCCACGAAATATCCTTGAATGTGGGTGAGGCTGCGAATGAGTTCCGATTCGCATTCTGCTCATCTGTCGAAGCCGTGGACAAGGCTCGCCATCTGGAAGGAGATGATGAAAAAAATTGTCTGTTGCTATCACGAGATGTTGGCCTTTGCTGCCAGGACAGAGTCCCCGTTCTACTCCGTAAAGGTGAGAAGGGTTTAGATGGTAACTCGCCATCGACTCCGGTCAGTGTGGATCCTCTCCGGCCGCCGTCCGTGGTTGTTGATGTGTCATCCCCAATGGACTCGGGTCTGCTGTCCGAGTCCCGACTCAGGGTATAGAGGGATGGTCCAAATTGTTCGGGAGGTTCGATCGCACGGTGGCTGAGAGTCGAGGATATGCTCAATCGAGCTGCATCAAGAACGGGGGAGTCTTTTGTGGGAGAAATCGATCGCGCCCGCTCTGTGTGAGGACCATGCACAATCAGTGTTTAGATTCGCGAATCTCGACGGCGGCGAATGGAGAACAATGAAGAGGGGGAATAAACATAAATATCAAGGAGAGAGATTTTTTACCGGCTCTTCGGGCCTGTCTCTCTTTGCGCCCCTGCAAAATTTCCTCCTCCAACTTTTTCGTGCGTTCCTCATCCTCCTTATCGCGCTTCTCTCCTAGTTCCCGAATGCGCAGAAGAAAGTCATTGACATCTTCCGAGCTGTCGATATCTGTCGTAGGAGCCATGGCTCACTAAATGCCGAATCTGCCCAGCCAAGATAAGAAGAAAGGTGGCCTGAGAGAAGAGAATGAGGGAAAAGGGCCAATTTGCCAATTTGTCCGCTAGAAAGAGAGGTTCTTGCCAAACTGAACAAACACCGGGCAACGAGCTAGGGACGGTGGGGGTTTTCGTGCGAGGCGACCAGGAGGGGAAAGATCGTGCGGTAAGAAAAAAAAAAGAAGAAGAAGAAGAAAGGGGCGAGAGAGGAGGGAGGGAGGAAATACTAATTGGGCAGTCAATTGTGGTCGTGACTCGTGAGTCTATGAGGGTCGCAGAGAAGGGAAGAAAGAGGTGGTGGATGAGGGAGGAGGGAATCAAGGGAAAAGAAACCCCCGTGGCTCGGGGCTCGCCGCCCTGAGGCGAGAATCAATTCGCATCCGACGAGGAATGAACTACGGCGAGGACCTTACCTAGTACTGTACTGTACAGAGACTACTTACTACTACGAACTTCAACTCACTCCCCATTCATCTGCCCAGTTAAGTCATCTGGAAATGAGTAACGTTACTAGTGGGATTTGTCCGTCAGACGCCTGCCTCATCACTGGACTTGGTGGACCCAACAACAGCTGGGAAGCCCGTTCCATGAACAACAAAACATCATCATCATCATTATCATCAGAGAAGGAAGCCCGACGCCCATCAGCTGCTGCTGCCCCACAACTGTTTTAGCTGGTGAGGCGCATGAGAGACAGGATGCACATCAATACTTATTTTATTATAATCACGGTGTCTTTATCCCCAAGGGGACAAACCATTATGCTAATGGTACTTTGTCATCCAGGGAACTTTCTCAAGCTTTACATCCCCTTTCTTCTTCTACCGAAGTCAACACGGTTTGGTGTTTTGATCTTCCTCGACACGGAAGATTGTTTACTTGTTCCCGATTTCGGGCCTTGCGGTGGAGCACACCCACCCTCAAAGCGCACCACTCCGTTCACTCAAGAAGTCTGCAATCCCGTCATTGTACGGAGTATATACGTACAGTACAGTACGTACTTGCTAATGAAGTACTCATAGTCGCGACGAGAGAAAAAAAAAAAAAGGTATAGTACACCTTAGGGCAGCCATGATTCCCGAATCTCGATTCCGATCTTGCTTCTCCGGATTCCCGAAATCCAGATCCATGGATAAATCTGCGATGGTCCAAGGATTTTCTGACACTGACGCGGCCGGCATTCCAAGGCTGCAGCTGCAGCGGCGGCTCTCTCCAAGCGAAAGTCTTGCCGGGCAAACCAAACAAGCTGCTGCTGCCCCATTATCCATTGACGTAAGATACACTAAGTTAACGTTAGTCAACTACCTTACACAAGGTCAACCACCACTGGTTCCCGCTCTGCTATTTCCAGCAAAACCTGCCTCTTTACCGATCCAAGACCGTGGACCCTGACAGAGCCGAACGAGTGTTTGATCGTCCATCCGAAACTCCCGACAAGGCCACACTAAATCGGCCCCGAGCAAGGGAGCCGCAATATACGCGCAGTCAAAAGTCAAAACCCTGTCTAGGATGTCCTCGCTAATGCTCCATCCCGTTGTACATGGAGGCTAGGGCTGCATGTCATTTCAGATTCAGAATCCTTTTTCCTCTGCAGGGTCAGTGATGACCAGAGCGAGAGGGGCTTCCACAGTCAACCAATAAGCCCAACTGTGGTCGGGCATCGCTGCCGCGTGGGAGGGTCAGAAAAAATATATCAGGCTGCCGGCCGGAGATTACGGCTGGTGAGCCTCATCTCGTGCCTTTTTGGATTGAGTTAGCGCGTGAATGAGAAAACACAATGGTTTCGATGCAATCTCGGTAGACCAATTGAAGTCATAACTTAGTACTCATGGTATTATCTGCAATCAAAGATCGAGGGTATTTTTCTTTTCCCCATCGTAATCATCGGCTAAGCGCAAGTTGGGCATTCTAGCTAGCTAACCTAGTATAAAAAGAGTCGATCCTTGGCATCTTGCACCACCCAATCCAACCCCTCGTGCAGATTCCTGCCTGTCATTGCACTGCAGGGCAATATCGTCCATTTGTGTGTTTTAATAGAGTCCAAGCTCAATCGCTGTATTGAGTTCTCAGTCAAAAACAGGAACCCCGAACGTAAATCGGTCGGGAAGAGTAATTAAGTAGGGGAGGAGAGGAAAAGCTCACCTCGCGAACCTCTTCCTCAGTCATACACCCATCAACGTCAGTTTTATTGAGAAAAATCAATAGACTCGCCCCCATCAAGCGCTGTCCGCGACATTCAGTCAGCCTACGCCGCCTCAGAAGGAGGGAGGGGCCCGCGGGGGAAAACCCAAAACGAAAAAACGAGGAAACGGTTACCTCCTCCAAAAGCAAACCCGCCAGTTCGGTTCGACAGTCGTCCACGCGAAGGCGGTCGGTCGCATCAACCACCCAGACCAGGGTATCGGTCTTCTCGAAGTAATTTTTCCAGTAAGAACGAAGCGTTTTCTGGCCTCCGACGTCCCCTGGATGTACCAGGTAGGTTAGTGGGGAGGGAAATAAGGTCGGACGGAGCGGCAGGAGAAGCCTTACAGATGTTGAGACGGTATCTTTTCTCCCCCCGCCCGGGGGCGTCAGCTATCAGTTTTTTTTTTCTTTGCCGGTGTATACAATGAATGAGAGTTACCCTTGGAATTCGATGGTCTTAATGATGAAGCCCAACGTGGGACTGACGGTGGTGACATCCTCTTTCATGATTCGTTTGACGATGGTCGTCTTGCCGGCGTTGTCGAGACCGCTGGGGTCGTCGGTTTTTTGCGCGTTAGCATCGCATAGACTTTATCGTCACAAGGGTCATCGACGGCCTACAGCATGAGAATTCGCATTTCCTTGTCCTTCAACCGGGCCTTGCGTAGAATAGACAACATCTTGGCGGGTTGTCTGCTTGATCGGTGATTGGGCGTATCTTCCTATGGATATTGCGAGGTGTTGGGAGGTTGCATGCGCGGGTTGGACCAAGTTATTAACTCTGCTGTACCTGGTACCTAATAATGCAAAGTCGGCAGCACACTGAACCACCCCAATCAATGATATGATTTCCTTTGATCAACCTTGGCAACTCAATAACAACCAGTAAAAAGTTTAAGGTGTAGTATATTGTCAGATCAATACTTGGTTATCGCTCTAACTGATATCAAGCTGCACGTGACCAGCTATCTATATCGTCACGTTTCTAGAGTAAATAGCAAAGATTCTCAATGCATGACCTCCACCAAGGGCAATGGCCCTCGCATACCTTCAAAGAAGATGACTGCCATATTCAATTCTCATTCAGGGACGAATCTATCATTTTAAGGCTGTTCTTTTGTGCCGAGCTTCGCATCCGAGGACCTTGGACTCCGAGATACGCTGTGTAGGAGTTCACAGTTGTACTGACAGAGTACTTGACTAAGCGCTTTAAATACCTAAGTATTTGAGCTGCTAGTTGCTCATAGCTATAGCACCAAAGATCTCATATCCAGTCATCAGTATGCGATGGAGAGGGCTGTACTCAGGGAACTGAGACAGCCCAACATCATAATCATTTGTTGCAAGGGCTTGCGACATAAAAGCAAGGTGATGATAATGCAGCCTAGTAAGGCGCAGCTTACTTGTTCATCCGACTCGAATATGTTTAGCTGAGCCGGAGATGGAGCCGGAGATGAAGCTGGAGATTCACATTTCCCCCGGGGCAGTGAGTTCAATTTCTGGGCAAAGTTCAAACCAGATTAAGATAAACACCTCATATTTCTCTTTTTTGCACCTTGGACTAGTCTCCGCTTTTGATACTGTGGACTGAGAGGTTTTTCCCAATGAGTGAGAAGAGCGTGGTAACACGTGACTCACAGCTAGAATTCACCAGTGACACCTAGCCCACACTGAGATGTACATGAGATAACTTTAGAACAACGTATCTTGCATGTCATGATCAGAGAGAGAAGAAAGGAAGGGAGTCTCTGCAACAGGACTATCTTATTATGTGAGCTTGCAAACCACACAGACTGACAGATCAACCATCAACTCCTCCACCCGTCCTCTTCTTTTTTATCTGAAATCTGCAAGAGATCTTCACCATCTATCCTTCCTTTTCTATACCTGAAGAGTGATATGCATTATCTTTGGATACTTCCATCAATCCCCGGAAGACAGAGTCATACACCTCTTCATTTGAACAAAGTCTTTCCTTGTTTATGGTCTTATCCTGCAACAACGCTCCAGAAGACCTAGCGTCTCTTGTCTTCTGAAACAGGGATTCGCCTTTTCAGAGTAAGCACCTGTCTTCATCATTTCTGTCTCCTTTCTATATTGACTTGATTTAAGATGGGAACGAAAAGAAACTATTCTCAATAGTGATCACAGAAACCACAGACCCTTGAGTTTTGAGAGTAAGTCTCTCGCCTTCATTAGTCGTGTCACTCACCTCTCATGACTTCGAATAGAAGAGCCATTATCTCCCATAGCTGTCCACAGTGACTCATTGTCTAGGACACTGGAGGCTTTCGCACACCTAGGTAGGTGTCCAACCCCGAGTCTGACTTATAATTCATGTAGCAGGCTAACATTGCACCCTTCCCACAGAGACTAAGAAACGAAGTCGTCTCAAAGCAGAATGGCCAGTCCGAAGAATAAGGAAAAGAAGCCCGCTAGGGGCCGCGGAACCACACCTCCGTCTATGACCAAAGGCAAACGTGCAATCAGAACCCCACCCGATGCACCACAAGTAAGCTCCTGGTGGGATGGCGATCAAAAGCAGAGTGAGCTTGGTAAGATGACACCTGAGACTTCCGAATATGAAGCGCCTCCACGCGCACCATCCGATGTAAGAGCCGAGCTCAAACGTCTGCAAGACGAAATTGTCCTAAAGGCACACCTGAACCTAGATCGCATCGACGATCACGAGCAGGTAGCTAGCCCCGAGTTGCTTGCCGAGTGGAGGCATGGACCAGGAACAGACTCTGAATCCGCTCGGTACAAGTTTCTCATGCAACGCCGCGGTGCTGGTCAAATCGAGGCGGATCTCAGACCTCCAGCGCCACCCCCAGTTGATCCCGCTTCACTCGTGGAAGAAGAGGAGACAGGAGAGAAGGCTTGGCGCTCCGGCATCACCAGGGACGATCCGGTTTTCAAAGCTCAGTTTGAGGCGCAGTTCCCTCCATACAGAGAGTCCGAGTCGACATATCCTAGACTGGTTGAAGGCAAGATTGTTTTGACATCAGAGCCCAGCGAGGAACAGAAAGCATTGAGGGAGAAGCACTCCAAGCGCGACAAGGTAGTCCCGGTGTCTTTTGATGACTCCGAATTATTGCTTGCGCGCTGGGATTATGCCCCTCGAGTGGACGCCGACCAGCCACAGTGGCGGCGCTCCTTTGAGTCTTGGCTACAGAGAGCGCTTGACTCATCTCGCGTGGTAGATGTCAACCGCGTGGCATTTTTCACCGGGCAGGCTTTGCCAGACGGCACACACGAGATGTACAGGCCGAATTGGTCGTATGATTGGACTTGGCCTGACCCCGCCGACGAAGACGGGCGTCTGCATCAACATGAGACTAGCCAGGGATATGTCGACAATAGGCTGGCCCGCATCAAGAGGGATAGGGAGGTGGAAGCACGTCTAGCTCATGAGCGCTGGCTAGCTGACGTCGAGTTCTACAAGCGTTACCCGAAGCCCGGAGAGACGAGACAAGATTTGTACCTGCGTCCAGTGGAAGACAGCGATGTTGAGCAGCTCGCGCGCATCTTCAACTGGTTTTCAGAAAATTCCCCAATGAGCTTGGACATCGGGGTCATAAACGAGGAAATCGTCCGGAACCGCATCGCAGATGTCAAGAAATACCGACTGCCGTTCATCGTGGCCGTGGAACGTCCTACGCCGGGCGAGGATGCAGATACTCCCAGCAAGATCCTGGGATTTGCGCTCGCCATCGACCATGACGGACCGTGGACCACAGGCCAGTTCGCGGTCAAGCTCGAGTTCTATCTGATGCCAAGAGAGCAGCAGCACGGGGTCGGAACCTGCCTGATGGACAAGATGCTCTCGGTATTGGACGACAGGTACGTACCCAAACGTGGATACCATTTCCGCTGCTTGCAGGAGGACGACAACGCCTACCGTCCGGGCGGTCTGCGTGACATGGCTCGAGTCATCGTGACATGCAGTTTTCCCTGGTCGGAGCGTGATCGCTACCAGTACATCCGCACCTGGCTCCAGCGGAGGTGGGATTTCACCGAGCAAGGCCACCTGCGTGGAACACGCTTGAAGTTTGATAGCCAGTGAGTCCCATACACCGTCAATCTGCTATGATAGTGCTACTAACCAAAGGGGCACAAACCAGCCTTGATGTGATTTATTTAGTTCGCAATTTGGGCTGATATGATCACTGTCGAATTGCAAGTCACCATATTTCGCCGACCAATAAACCTTTCTCGTGGACTTACTCCACTTGTAAGGTGTCAATCTCTTTTGTCTTTTCATCTTTAATTCACAGACCCATGGTTGTTATCACTTGCCTGATGAGTTGCCCTCCAGGCTGATGCTCCCCTTCTCCTTTGATGATATTATCAGCTCTTTCCTGGACTAGTAGTAGGCTGGATTGATTTGTTGCCGCAGTACGCGGTCAAAAGCAATGATCTCAAACAAAACACAGAGTGGATGCTATGAATATGTGAGAAATTGAAAAATTTGCCATCCAGAGCTCATCGTTATCATCACAAGCTCCTAGATCCCGTAGAGAAGCTTAGATCAGGTTTATATGCCTACCAACATCTGTAACGAGGACTGTCGGGGTGTTAGTACGTACTGTACCTTATAGGAAGCAGCCAACCAAACAGAGCCAATCACTAACAAGCCCAAGAAAGCGGAAACACTTTTCTGCCGGGATTGCAACCCACCGCCTCGGAAGTTTCAACTTTTTTTCCCATTCCCGCAATCCACTGGTTCCTGGCCGATTTGACTGGTGAGAAACAAAAAAAGTTGGGGGTTTGAGAATTTCACTCTTTTTTCTATTCTATTGGATTTGCTCACTTAATCTACCAATCAATCTGGAATTGAAGAATCCGGAACCACCAGGAATTGATTCACGCTTATCTCAGTCGTCACGAATTGATTTTTGCGCCAAAAGTTTCCCCCTCCGCGTTGGCCGGAAGAAAAAAAAAGATGGCTCCCAAACGGAAGATGGATGACGACTTCGTCATGACGTTGTCCGACGACGAGAACGACACGCTCAATCCGCTCGACGAGGACGGTGACGACGAATTCGCCGCGAAGAAGACGACCGCCGCGGCGACGAAAAAGCGCAAGAGGGAGGAGCCGGCCGATACCAAGAACAAGAAGGTGAAGCAGCAGGACAACAAGAAGAAGCAGGCCAACAAGTCGTCGAAGAAGGGCGCGAAGCAGGCTGCGCAACCGGAGTCGGAAGAGGAGGAGGACGCGGAAGAGGACAGTGAAGATGAGGAGGCCGATGCCGCTGAGGATGATGGGGCCCTGAACCCGGACTTCGAATTCGATGTGGGAGGGGTGGCGAATGAGGTGACCGAGTTTGATGGGTGGGCGCAGAATGTGCCTGACGAGGAGGCGCGCAGAAACGGCGACAAGAAGGCCGTGGACATTGATGAGATTATCGAGAGGCGGCAGGCGAAGAAGGAGGCTGCGGCGAAGAAGAAGCAGAAGAAGCAGCAGCAGCAGCAGCAGCAGCAGGTGGCTGAGGAGGAGGATAGCGGGGATGAGTCGGATGGGGGTATGTCCGTCGATTTTGGCGATGATGAGCTGCTGGCGGAGGATGGCTTCGGCATGGGCGCTGATGGCGAGGATGAGAGCGGACATGAAAATGCGGACGAGGACTCGGAAGAGGAGGCCGATGAGGATGACGAAGAGGCTGACGAGGATGATGAGGATGAGGACGAAGATGAGGATGCTGCTTCCGACGACGACTCCGTCGCTACTCCTGTCGCGCACCCCGACGATGTGGGCGCGGACGAGGAATCCGATGCGGAGAGCGAAGTCGACGCCGAAGAAGCAGCCAAACGCAAGGCATTCTTCGCCCCCGAGGAGAAGACTGAGACCTCTGCTGTCAACGCGAAACGCTCCTTCCAGGACTTCAACCTGTCGCGACCTATTCTTCGTGGTCTGGCTGCGGTCAACTTCTCCAACCCGACACCCATCCAGCAGAAGGCCATCCCCGTTGCGCTTCTCGGCAAGGATATCGTTGGTAGTGCCGTGACTGGTTCCGGTAAGACGGCTGCCTTCGTCGTTCCCATTCTCGAACGTCTGCTCTTCCGTCCGCGCAAGGTCCCTACCAGCCGTGTCGCGATTCTGATGCCCACTCGTGAGTTGGCAGTCCAGTGTTACAATGTGGCCACCAAGCTGGCTACCTACACCGATGTCACCTTCTGTCAGTTGGTTGGTGGTTTCAGCCTGCGGGAGCAGGAGAACATTCTCAAGAAGCGGCCCGACGTGATTATTGCCACCCCGGGTCGTTTCATTGATCATATGCGCAACTCGCCCAGTTTCACGGTTGATACGCTCGAGATTCTGGTGCTCGATGAAGCCGACCGCATGCTCGAGGACGGTTTCGCCGACGAACTGAACGAGATCTTGACCACGATCCCGAAGTCCCGCCAAACCATGCTCTTCTCCGCTACGATGACCGACACCGTCGACAAGCTTATCCGCGTCGGTCTGAACCGTCCCGTGCGCCTGATGGTCGATTCGAAGAAGAACACGGCCTTGACGCTGACCCAGGAATTCGTGCGTCTCCGCCCCGGTCGGGAGGACAAGCGCTTGGGTTATCTGCTGTATCTGTGCAAGGAGATCTACACTGGACGAGTGATTGTCTTCTTCCGCCAAAAGAAAGAGGCCCACCGCGTCCGCATTGTTTTCAGTCTGCTCGGGTTGAAGGCTGCCGAGCTTCACGGTAGCATGAGCCAAGAACAGGTATGTCCGAATCTATCTTCTACGACTTGAGCACGCGCTAACCACCGTTCTGTAGCGTATCAAAAGTGTGGAAAGCTTCCGTGACGGCAAGGCTGCCTTCCTCCTGGCCACCGACCTGGCGTCTCGTGGTCTGGATATCAAGGGCGTGGAGACGGTCATCAACTACGAAGCTCCGCAGAGCCACGAGATCTACCTGCACCGTGTCGGTCGTACCGCGCGTGCCGGTCGGTCGGGTCGGGCCTGCACGATTGCGGCCGAGCCCGACCGCAAGGTGGTGAAGGCCGCCGTCAAGGCCGGCAAGACCCAGGGTGCCAAGATCGCCAGTCGAGTGATCGACCCTGCGGTTGCGGATTCGTGGGCGGCCAAGGCTGAAGACTTGGCCGATGAGATTGAGGAAGTTCTGGAGGAGGAGAAGGTGGAGAAGCAGCTGGCACAAGCGGAGATGCAGGTGACCAAGGGAGAGAATCTGATCAAGCACGAAGCCGAGATCAAGTCCCGGCCCAAGCGGACGTGGTTCGAGACCGAGAAAGACAAGCGTGCCGCTCGCAAGCTGGGCGCGGAGGTCTTGAACGGACCCGGTCAGTCGAAGAAGGAGAAGGTGAAGCTGAGCAACAAGGACAAGAAGAAATTGGATGACTCCCGACAGCGCTTGGAGGGCAATGCCGGCTGGAAGAAGGGCAAGAACACGCGAGAGTCGCAAAAGAATGGGAGAGTTCCGACTGAGAAGAAGGGCAAGAAGGGGAAAAAATGAGGGCGAGGGTAGATAGATGGTGGTGATGATGATCGGAGCCTGTTGAGTGAGTGTACTGTACTGTACAGTACCTACTGTATATACCTTTTACCTTTTCCACAAAAATTTCTCTCTTTTTTCTTTTCTCTTCTTCTCTCCATTGCCAGGTCAATAAATGTGTGTCAAAGATTCCTGGCTATTTTCTTCTTCCTTGGACCATCAATACTCCTGACTGATAGTGTATTCGAGCACTCGTATATCCGAACGGATATCGTCGGCTATCCGCGGGGGTGGAATCTGATGGGGAGGCAGGCTGAGGGTTGACCGCCTCCGGTCATCGGCGTGCCCCAGACTTCCCAGTTTGCTCTCCCGGTCGGGGTTGCTAATCCCTGCACCGTGATTGAAGAAGGGGTGACAATGACGGTGACGGTGATGGTCTGGGGTACAGTGCATGAGGAAGAATGAAGAATGCAGGCAAATGGCATCGATCGATGACCAATGCCCAAGTTGACCAATTGAGACTCTTGAGCAGTTCGATTTAATTCCTTACGTTCAAGTTGGATGATGTCGAGGGAGATGGCGGTCATCCTATCAGACCTCGTCCCGCCATCCGCTGTCGGCGCCGTACAGTAAAAAAAATCAATGATGGAGCGTCATCCAAAGAAATCCCAACTTGACTCACTCCCTCGCCGCTTTCTTATAACTACCTACTAGTAATCCTGCGTTTCTTCCTCCTCCTCTCGCCTTTCCGATTTCTTTCTTCTTACTTCCAAACCGCCACCAACTGCTCTGTTTACTTCCTCTTCACAAGGCCATTCCTCATTCCCAAATCTCTTCTCCAACCCCGGCTTTGTCTTATCCTCAATTTCCCCCACCGTCTTTCCTCCCTCTTCCCCGCTGCGGATCCCCCCTCCC